TCTGACTGATTAAAGTAGTTGGTATTTATAATTAAATTTCTAGCTTTTTAAGAACTTGGTCAGGATCTAGAAAAATAAGACTAGTAGTTTTAAAATTACTAATTATATTATACTTGCTTAGAGTATTAGATTATATCTAAAAATAATATTTAAGAAAATTCAGTTTATTAATATAATTAAATCTAAGATATATCTTATTTTTAACTAGACAGCCATACATGTGTTTAAAAGAATTAAAATAACTGATATTAAGAGATTAAAGCAGGTAAGATAAATACGGAAGTATATAAATAGATATAATATTATTTTATATATAAAGATTATTAAATTTAAAAGTTAGATAATGTTACAGGACAAGCCTCTACTAGAGGACTCAGCTAACCAGCCTCATTGCTGCCTGCTGACTAAACATAATACACAAAATATCAGGAGCTCCGAGGCCCTGTTCTGAACAGCAGCTATTCCTTCTTGTCCAACAGGCGACGTACTCTTGGAACCAAGGGGCGACCCCTAACAGATAATTTTTATAATTATTTAAAATAAATAATTAAGATTAACTAGCAGAGTGTGCAATCAATAAAATAAAATATTTTTTAAATTATTATAAATTAATAAGATTAGTAATTTAATTATTATTACTAATTTTAATTTTTTAATCTGTAGATAGATTAGTATTTTAGAATTATATTTACAGATATATCTTATTTTTAAAAATTAAAGTTAGAAATAAAACTGATCCAGAGATTTAAATATATTTAATTAAGATTATTCATTCCTGATTTCCTGGTTATATAAATAATAGCTTATTTTTAATCTTATATCTGGTAATAATTTGTAGAGTTCTAATAATATCTATTATAAATTTTATTTTATTAAAATTATAGATATTATCTGGTTAGATTCCGTGTTGAAAAATTATTATTTAAATAAGATTAAATTATTCTTATATTATCTTAGAATTCTTGTACTTAGTCTGTTAATAATTATAATATTTTATAAATTTTTATTTTAATTAATTATATTATTTAATAAAGCAAGAGACTTAATTTTAACTAATATTTTAGGAATTAGAACTATCTCTTTTAGAAAATAGAATATTAATTATATCTTATACTTGAGAAGATCAGGGAAATACTTTATATTAATTTAATAATAAGATTTATTATATAAGATATTCTTCTTTATTAGAAGTCAATTTCTGAGTATTATTAGAAGTTTCTTGAATAAATAGAATACTATATAATTAATCTTATAAAGTAGAATATAGGATAGTAAAGAAGTATATAGTACTATAAATACTGTTAATTTAATATTTCTTTAGAATTTTAATAATAAGCAGAATCTTGCTCTCCTGCTTTACTGTATTTTTTAATATTTTAGATTATATTAGTAGCATGGTTGGTGGTTGAATAGCTTTAAATAAAGGAGAGGAGAGAGGGGGGAGGGTGTTTGTATGTAGGTTCAAATGTGTTGGGTGTGTAGTAGGTGGGTGGCCGGTGCGGGCGGGTGGCCGGCGCGGCCGGGAGTTACGTTAACTGAACTGCCTGAGTAAGCTTATTTATAATATAAATATAGTAATATTGTGAGAGCCGATCAAATATGTCTTATTTAGTGTATCTAGACTAGAATATCGAACATGAGATTGAGGAGGAAAAGAAGGAAGTATAGAAAAATATATATAAATAACGAAGATAAGTAAATAAAGTAAAATAAATAAAGTAAATAGAATTATATTATATAATCCAGTTATATATCTTTGAATACTGCTTATTATTATATTACTCTTTTTATTAGAACTGGCTGTTCTCAGCCAGCAGAATATTATCATTCTTATAATCTAATATAAACTTATCAGTCTCAGCTGCGGTGAGCCACTGCAGCAGTTTTTTAAAAGAATCAGAACAAGTGGGATTCTTTATATAATAATTTTACAATTAAAAAAAAGTATTCTTAAAATTCCCAGTAAAATATTATATCATAGAAATTAGAATATTGCTGAGAACTATGTAGGTATCCTGGGCAGGAATCATGGGTTTGGTCATGGTGGGTAAATATTGGAGTTAAGAATCAGAGGTTCGTGGTCGAGGGATAGGAGACGTGATTGTTGTTGATTACACTAAATTTAGGTGCATCTTGCACTGCTTTTACTTTAGTCAAAGTGAGATGCTTTTGTTGCCAAGCATTTTCTTCGGAGGAGTGGAGGTCCTTCGCCAGGAGATGTTCTTATCCAGGTAGCGTCGGAGGAAGAAACCTCCGCCTGCTTGCCAACTCAACTGAAACCGCGCAAACGGCCACAGAGTCCTTGGTTCAAGCTAAGCGGTGTTTCATAAAGCATTATCCAAGATGGGAATTATTTCCTGACCTCCGATTGGGATATGGAATTCCTTTCATCACAACGTCGTGCCTGGCCATGAGTGATTCCGCCCCTAACGAGCCCCCTTGATTTTTTTTATTGACCAGGGTTACATATTTGTGGGAGATCTGTAGAATGAACACGAGCCGACCTGACCCCCGGGCTAGAAGCTCGTGGTATTGGTATGGACAGACATCTCCTCATCATTGCTCACAGCGCCACCAAATCTCGCGCCCTGCTTATAGATAACGTTTAAGAGGAGCCAAACTTTGAATTGGCGTTGCGAACGTACGATGCCCGACGAAGTAAGTCACGATGGGGAACATGCATAGTGACGAACACTTGTACTCGAAGCGGATAGTCTCTTGAAAAAGATTTTAATGAAAAGGAGTTGGTTTGATGCCTATCTTTGGCTGCTGGAGGTGCCAATGCACAACTCCAGACTCTGGCCCCCTTATCAGTAAATGTAGAGACTGGTTCAACCGTTGAGTGACCTGGTGATACACTTGATCTGCAATGAGTGTAATGCAAGCCAGTATCTATCTCCAAATCATCCACGTGGCTCAAGAATGGGCGTATCAATGTTATATTGTGTGGGAATCTCGTCAGCTGCCTCTGGATATAGCTGATAGGTCCCAGTGTGTGCGGCTAGTTAAGCACACTTCCTAGAGGGGCAGCAGATTGCATGGGATTGCGATAGGGAGTCCAAGCATCCACAGTGTCAGATGCGGCTTCGTATGGGGGGCTAAACCGGGAGAAAAGCTTTCAAATATCACAGGGAGAAGTCTTAGGTGGGAAACAGACGACGTGCTGAAACATTAACAGACGGTGAATAAAAGGGTCTCTCTTGGCCAACATCGTAGGCGACGCGACGGCAGAGAAATTGACTCGCATCGGCGCTGCGACTGATGCAGGGAACCATGTCGTAGCAACAGCAACTATGTGCGGCGAATTCGATCCTCAATCCGTTAATAATCATTGGTACGAGCTCATTCCAGCCATTTTTGGGTGTACTTTGTTTTCGCGCAGTGGTGGTGTCGGTGTAGATGGGGGATCGGACGCGATGAAGATCTCCGGGCGCACAATGTGCAATGCAACGTGCAATAAAAAATGTGGGGTCTCAGGAAGAAAGCCCTCGTGAGGTCGCCCACGAGGCATCTACGAAGGATTGGCTACAGACGTTGTGATTGGCCAGTGGGTGCTGGGAATAGCTCCGAGTCCATTTTCTATATTACGGTATTTGACCATACGGCCGATTACGTGATAGATTACATAGATTCCTGTATATAGCAAAACTCGCAGCCGGATGGCCTCCCTGTCACAGGCGCTCGGCCGGAGATCCCCAAGGGACCTGCATCCCAGTAAGGCTTCAATCAATCAGTCGATCGATCGATTGATCGATCTCCGGGTGCGGGTCTCCACAGTCTACGCGTGTCAAAAACCCTGCGAACCATCATCCGATCGGTTATTGCCGATTGAACAAACCAGCCAATCAAAGACATAGTCGGGCTATCTTCATCCCTCAGCCCCTGATTCACCGCACGCAAACTCAGTACTAGCTAGCAGGACCGGAGGCTCAGTCCCCCGGAATGTGGAGCCTGACGAACATGTTCAATTTCATTGCCGATATATGAAGACAATGTCATCTAAATCTAGGGAAGATCCTCAGTGATCTTGATTAGAAGGCACGCGCTCTGTTGACACTAACCCTTAAACGTCATGCCCCCTACACCGCGAGGCTTTCGCTGGCCATTTCGACTCCCCCGCTTCGGCGCATCCTCGGTCGCAACATCAGCTTCACCCCAAGGAGCGTAGAACCTCTGCACTCGGCAATTTGGGTTTGAGCCAATTGGCCCCGAGACCGAACCTTTGTTTCGTAGTGGACACTTCACTGCACCTCGGCGGCGTATACGTCAATTGCTGGAGTCCTCTGCTCTATTTTCGTAATCTGTCAGCCTAGTTGGGATACATATCTTCATATTACGTGCTAGAGCTCCACGTGACAATGCGACCCAATCGGTGAGATGAGATCACTCGTTTAGCTACTAGCCTCCGGGCCCTATTCTGGCCTGAGCGAAGGCCGGTGTGCAAGCAGCTATCTTCCGATAACGTCTTAATCAAAGACTTTCTAGCCTGGACCAAGTCTCATAGCGGAGTCTCTTGCCCGATGCAAGTTGTGATATTTAACCTACAGCCTGGTTTTAGCCCTTAACTTGAGCGAAAGCTAACCACCTGGAGCAAAGGTCAGCTTTAGAGGTTCAATGGCTATGGTGCCCTTTGCATTGCCAGAAAATCTTGACTAGTGGGCTTGGGCTAGATAGCCAACCTCTCTCAAGTAAGGTTGCGCTCTGCCAATCCTCTAACTTACTGCTTCATCCACTATTCGCCGGAGACTTGTTCATGGTCCATGTACGTCCCATCATAGTGCTTCGCCTCCCGATCCTGCAATGAAACTACTTACATGCCACCTGTTCAACATGAGCAACAGAGCAGTTCTACTAGCAAACAGGTAAGGTTAAATTATTTGCTTTACAAAAAGCCCACCGGGCCTCTTTGACTAATGATCATCGCCTGGGAGTTCTATAGGAGAAACCGTATACAGTTTGATAAAAGGCCTTAACCCAGAAGCACATAAAATTCCTCTTAACTACAGGCTATCGATCTCCTTGTCTAATGTACGGGCTAGGAGCTCCTGCAGGCGCTCCGTATTTCCCTGTTGCTCGAGGCCATAACTCTCGGGATCCATTTCCAGGAATCCCATGATGGGTTCTCCGTCCTCAGCGACCGGGTTTGCATGCGTGGGAAGAGCTAGGCGTTCTAAGCTCTCGTTCAGTTGGTCCGCGTTGACCATGATGCCGCGCCGGTTCAAGGTCATGGAGTACTCGATCAGCTCTGCCCGGGCGACCTCCCACTCTTTCTTGACTCCAGTTAGCTTATACCATGAAATCGGGGCTGACACAACTGAGTTCGGACAAACCTTGTCCAGGAGGAAGGACAACTGCTCCGACCTCCTCTTTGAGCCCCCACCATACCCGTGCGTCAAAGTGCTGATCATAACCTTTTTCAACTCTCGGTAACAGAACATGGCGGAAAATAGCTCAGTCTCATCACTCAGCTGGTTGCGGATGGCCTGTGTTGTCAGATACCTCACTGAACGAAATTTGGCATTCTCCGCCATCTGAACTTTCACGTTCAGTGGCCCGAAGGAAGTAAACGCTTGTAGTTTCTTCATCTAGTTGCTGTTAGTGAGAGTTATGGAACAAATGTGAAGGTTTCTTGCCAAATAGTCAAGGTCATTATAGGCGGAGAGCTCGCCCCTGAGGCAGGGGCCCGCATAGCCCACGACCAACATCACAACTCCGGCCCAATTCTTTTGCTCAAAGCGTGCCAAGTACGTATACATGGCCTCGAGATCGGCGCCCTCTACACTTACCTGCTTTTTATCGGTTGGTAGTTTTAACTAACAGTATCATAAATAGTTATTAGTTCTCTCTCTCTCCGGACACAAAGCAGATTGACATACCTGCTGTTTCACCACGGTAACGTCCCTCCACAGAGGTTCAGTCTCGATGTACGTCCAAAGTTGCTCCATGAATTTACCGATATGGTCTGGGAGAGAAGTGATAGTAAACTTTGGTTGGATATTAGTCGATCCCTCGTCAACATGCCTCCATGGCCGTGGGTTAATCTCTGCTCTAAAGGCAGACTTTCCTAGTTCCTCTACCCAATCCCAATTTTTCAGGGCGTTGGATGAAGATCTGGGGTACGAGAAACTCTGATCCGTCCAATAGATCACATGTTGAAGTACTTTCTTCATAGGCTGCGCTATTAGTCGGTTCGTTCGAACAAAGTCACTCCTACATTTGTTAGCAGGCATTGGGAAGGTTTTAGCTGGAGCCCGCGTACCATCTGGGGCAGGTTAGGCCGGGGTTTTGTTGCATGTTGATGAAAACTTTATGATACTCGACATCGGAAAGTTTAGTCAAGAACCCGGGACGTCTGGTGTTCACTTGAGTTGAACCTGTAGTGAACGTGTCGCCTGCGAGGCGGGGCAGTGTCCACTGGTTGAACCATTTCTGGTTTAACGATAATAGGCCAGTCAGACTGCCATCCTCGTGGTCTGCCTTGGTCGGAAAGAATAGTCTCCTCAAGAAATCCGCTCTTGGACCCTTTTCCATCGCTGCCAGAACAGTTTCCCAGTCCGCAGATGTCACCTTTTTACCCTCGAAAATCCGATCGCCGAATGTCAGAACGAAATCGATTTCTCGCGCCCACAACTATACGAGAAAAACTATTAGTATCAGGCTAACTTGGAAAGACCATCCGTGACTTACTTTTTCCAGCTTCGTGCTGGCGATATCCTCCGCAGTTGTGAAATTAAAGTATTTCTCCCCATAAGGTGTCATAACGTAGCTGCGCCACAAATCTCTCCAAAAGGGTGCCGTAGTAATCGCAAGAACTCGGGGCCCTTGTGATCTGTTTAATCCATACGTACTTTGTAACCAAGGCCCGAAGTTTCCTGCTTTCAGCAATTGTTGCCGTTCGCTCTCCGTCTTTGCGGCTAGATCGTCCAATATGGATATAAGAACATAGCCATCGGAATCGCTCTTGTTCGGATCGTCACGGTTTCCCTTCAAGGTGGCCAAAAGATCGCTTTGCATCTTTTCTTGCTCGTAGATGTCGAACGCCCAATAATAAGCCTGGTTAGATGTTAGTCTTCTGACTCAAGTTTAGTTTCGTTATGCTTACCTGAGGAGAAGGATGGAGAAGAGGGCTGCCATCAGGCGTGAGTCCACCTTCGGTCGCAGCTTTCTCCTGCTCAGCCAAAAGTGTCGATAGTGCGGATCGCCTATGTTGCCCCGCAATCAGTGCAGGAAGTGGTAGACCTTCTGGCCACGTATCCAAGTGAACAAAATCATGTAACTGCCCGCCGTCAGCGTTGGTCGCTTGGCTTCGCGCCATATCAACAGTCTCTGGATCAGAATTTGGACCAGCATAGGCCGCGAGGAAGGTTTTGTAGTCATCTTGCTTCATGCAAGCTTTCATACGAGTTTCTCGAAAGAACCGACGGACGCCCAGCTTGAAGCTGGCAATTAGTTCGCCGACATGTCTCATGTCAAGTTCCCTGTTCGTGTACGTCTCAGTATCAAGGAACCTTACGTCAAAGGCTATAGTGCCCAGGTAGGCATCATGGACCGCTTTCTGATTAGCGTCATCTTTCAGCTCGGTGATTGTGGCAGCCTCATCTAACTCGAGTGTGTTGCGCCGACGCTTCGCCATCGTCTTTAACAGTAGATGTGCTTTTGGAGGAGCAAAAGAAGTAGTTTAGATGCTGGTACTACAGTATTGAAGAAAACGTAGGATGAGAAGCTGAGGTCAGGCTAGGTTGACAAGGTGAGAGAAAGAAAAATTGAAAGGTAGGATGAGGAGGTGAGGTCAAGCGACGCGGATTAGGTGAGAGAAAGTCTCAAGAACGCAAAACAACAGAGACCGAGATGGTGTTACTCCCAAGTAGTGAATTGCTTTCATTTGGTATGTGCTTTCCAGGGACTGTGTGGGACGCGTTGCGATATACCCGGCATGTGATAAAAAAAATGAAATACCGTTAGGGAGATAGCAAGCCTCCTACATTGCAAATCTTCATCTACGAACTACGGCCAAGACCCTGGGGACTGCAGATTCTGTTTCGATAAACCTAGCTAGAGTTAAGCCATCGGCATCATATAACAAGTTCACTAAAAAGCTCAGTAGCCATGATCGACATTCCACGAGCTGAGTGCATCTGCCATAGCCTTTTGGAAATATGACTTCTTAACCTCTCTCAAGTGAAATTTGCTAACCCGTTCTGAAATTGGTGTAGTGATTTCAACTGAATTATCGAGACACAGATCGTTATCATCATCCTCATCATCGTCTCCATCGGCTGGCTGCCAGCCTGCACCAGCGCACATTGCAGCCAGCCGATGGAGTGTCCACTGGAGGGCAAAGAGACCTTCATCAGGAAGCTGTAGTTTTTGGGGATCTGATGTTGTGATAATAATGGTATCCCCCGAGCAGATGACAGTATCTGAATCGTTATTGTAGAGTTTCAGATTAGGAGTGGCTACATCAACATGGTGCGCTCTTCCTCCCTTCTGGCTTGTTTCAGGCATCATTATTGGTGATATAGTAGAATTTCCTTCACTGTCATTGATCAGGAGCAAGGAATTGCCGGTAGCGGGAAGTCCCTTGCCACATAGCCAGTAAAAATGCAATTCCATGGACTTATGGTCTTCTGATACCCGGAATGGCATCAAACCAAACAGCGCTCTGTCCCAATATGTATGACAATTGGGACTCAGAGCTACTAGATTTCCTACTGACATGAGGATACTCTCCTTGCCTTCGAGCCATCTCTGGATTGTCTCTTGCGACCAAAACATCCTCAGCAAGGCTTTAAATTCGAGGAACTTGAGCTTCTTGGTAGGTGTAGTAGTGTCACAAACCGAAGCCGGTATTATATGGGCGGCTTGCAAGGGATCTGTCGCCTTGGAGATGATACAAACTCGATCCCGATCAAGGCACTGCACCTGAGTTAGAGTCAGAGCAAAGGGGATCACAGGGAAACAAGTACTAACAGCCTCACTCAAGTCTTTCCTGTTGATCACCTTCTTAATCTTACTTGATATACTGGGAGAGCTAGGAGGCTCCATCGCTTCATATTTGCGCTTCTTTGCGACGGGCTGGGTTGGGGAACTTTCTGTAGGCGTCGTAAATGGCGCTATACGAGATGCCGTAGGACTGTTTGCTAAGGAGCTTTCCATACTCCGTACTGGGGTGACTGCTCCTGTCCCTGGTTGTGACGCTGCGAACTTTCCTCCTATTCCAGACCCAGGTAGATCTATAATCCTAGGTGAGCCCATTTGCTCGTAAGCAAAGATACTATACATACACATTGTAAGAATTCTTGCGAAGCTCCCCCCGTTGTGTCGCAACAACGTAGACATCACATCACGATCAAATTCTCGGGAATACCATTGGAGTTCCGATATATCTGCGAGCCACATCCCAAACCAAATCGGTGTACTGATCTGTAGGGTTCCTTGGGGGATGTTCTCGGCTAGCTCGTATGATCTTATAGATTCTAGAATTCCCGTTAATAATTTCAGACGTTCAGGATCGTTGAAGCCCATGGAAGGCCCTGAAAATGAAGACATCTTTGGAAAATCTTCTGGAGAGATGATAGATAAATGCTCGAGATGAATAAGTGTTCGACGTGGAGATTAGTGGTTGGATGGGACTCAATATGCACAACTCTTGTGTCAATGATGTAGAGCAACAAAGTAGTTAGAACTGAAGGGAGTGTGGGAATGGTTCCTGACACGTGACCATGCCATTCCGGGATGTCAGATGATCCGCCGCTGCGCCCACGTATTCTGTACCGCAAAATCCACAAATTACCTTGCTTATCTGGCCGAATATAACCTGAGCGAGATTGGCCGGCGTGGATTCAGCCTGGATTTATGGACTGAGGTGAAAGGCCTTTAGATATACTCAACGTCCCTATGATTATGACATCTTCATGTAACTGGTGATAATCCACATCTAGCAAGTAGATCCTCCCCGCTAGTGTCGCTGGACCTTCATTTAGGCCTAGTGAATCTCTACTCAAAGTACTGTCTTCCGTCCGCTAGGATGTTCTAGCGAGGCCCGTCTTCTGATGTTTTGTTCATCTGCAGCCTAGCTTGAGTGAGAGAGTCTCCGAAGCCGCATGGCTCGCAAACATCATAATTGATGTGAGCCGAGGATTAACCTTGGAAGATGAAATTTGAGACTTTCACTTTACCTAATCATCACCTAAGCCTTCGCCACCTGTGCCTACACGCACCAAGCAACCATCATCCTGAGATCTAAAATGATCATATACATACATTAGAATCCATGACTGCCATTTCTATGGATACCTGATGTATTGTCTATATGTCGGCGCCCATTCATGGGGCATGGAATTTGAGTAGTTACTCACAACCTAAGTTTTGTAATCTTGTTACAATCCTTCCATTTGAAAGTCGGTTGAAGTTTCATGCACGATGTAGTCTGCGCACAGCAGCCAAATCTTTTCACCCGAAAGCCCAAATTGGAATCACTGTCCGGGGTGAAAGTTCAGCCCACGCCGATGCTAATCTCGCATAGCTTATATCGTCACGCGAGCTAGTTCCTTGGGGAAGGTCACCTCAAGGTCATATCTAAGCGCGGCCTAATCTTAACTCAACGCCATCTGACCTTGAACTGCCTAATAGACCTCACAGAATGCGGCACCGAATGAGCTGATTGTGAAACAAGACTCGACTTAGTCCATGCTGGGATATTTTCAGTGTACGCTGAGCTGCAACCTCATGGTGAATTTTTTTTTTCTCTTGAGATATGACATGCCTAAGGCTTTATCTAAAAATCTGTGTGAAGGCGGCGCATTGAATACAAAGCAATTATTTTCGGGATACCGTAACTGGGAGTTCCGTCGCCCACCGTTGAAGTGTATTATGTGTAATCATCTCGTAATGGCGAACATTCATCCAGTGGTCAACCAAAGCCAGGCATGACTCGAACTATTACTTCGTCCAGGTGACAGGTTACTGCTAAATATTGACAGATAAGCAGACCGTTGTCGGGCACAACGTCGAAGGATGTTTCTTCACACTTCTGTTACTCTCTATAAGGATGTCAACTAGCCTAGTATAGAAGCCACTGGTAGTCATGCTCCAACGGGCTTTGAGCGAATCTGGGCTGGGACAGCATCTTCCAAAGTGTCATTTAAAAAGAATACACAAGGTCCTGCATGACGTCAATCGCACAACCTTGTCACCGAGAGGCGAGAAAGCAGTGAAAAGTCTAAAAAACTTGACAATAACGATGGAAAAATACAAGGTACATAGCCGTAGGTCTCAGGCTGGAGTACAAGACCAAAACTACGTACAAGTTAATCTTGTATGATCAGCTCACACAATTGGGGGTTAACTAGAGGAGCAACGTCTATGTTTTCGGGAAGCACAGCATCTATACACGATATACCCCTGGGGGTAGTTGACAAATTAATGTCGGATTGTCTTGCGGAAATAAATTGTGGTACGTTGGAAACCGGCCGTTCGAGCGGCTTACTTCCAGTAGGAATGGCTACAGCTGCGCCCCGATGAGAACCGCCTTGTAGTCTGCTACGCCTAGTAAACAGGTATATCAACGGATATATGAGCCCTGAGTATGAGAAACCTGCGAGGTCAATAGAGCGTATTTCAGAGAGCCAGAGCAGCTGCTAGCGACACATTAGAGCTTAAAGTGCTGACACGGACACGTCCCACGGAAGCCTAGTTATAACTGACCCTGCAGCATTACATCTTCTCTTTGGGAATACGTCAAATACAAATAAGCAGCCCTCGTACATATTATTGAAGCCACTAGATAGCCTTGGTTTTACTCCGCTTAGGAAGGAACATGCTTTTCGCCGGAAGGTTATGTACCAAAGTCATGGCAGTGAAGGTGACGGAAAGCCCAACATTCAAAATACACAACCTGAACCAACTAGTCGTATTCGACTGCATCAAAGCCCTCGCTACATATGAGCCAATAATAGCCATTTGTACCTAGCAGCTGAATATCGAAGAACGATGGGGGGCTCCGGTCTAACATGACCGAGTAGCTAAATTGAAACAGCTTCGAAATCATGGAAGATCTTTAAAGACAGGCTCTGAACCAATGCCTTAACTCCTCCAGACACCTTTTCAGGTAAAGCAAAAACATATCCACGATCCATCGTTACATTGCCTTCGTCTGTTTCATAAAGCTCCAGTTTCAGTGCACCTGGTCTATACAACTCGAACACAATATGGCATAGAGCCATCCATGCAAGACTTTTTTATCAGGAGAGTCACATCAGCAAAACTTCGCTTTTTAGAAGTACATATAGACGGCCAGGGTACGGGATGAAAACTTACTGCTTCCCAAGGGCAATCCCTCGATCCTCTACCAACTGGAACCATATATTCAGTTATTCGCGGGTCGTGGTTCTCTTCAGTGTGGAACCAACGCTCGGGCTTGAATTTTTCTGGCTCGGGAAGCACTTCTGGATCCATGTGCATCCAGTAAGAAGACATCCCGACTGGGATCTATATCATTGTGAGCAGGTCCACCGTAAACTGAGGATCAGCGTAGTCTGTGCTTCGGGTACTAACCCCCTTTAGAATAGTCCATCCTTCTACAACAAAGTCATTTTCGGGAAAGACACGAGTCACCTATTTCATAATACCTGCAACAAGTCTGGAGACTGGATCAGCCATCCGGTGATATGACAACAACCACTCCCTGTGGCCTACTATACGTACCGTAAGCTTTATTTAACACAAGCATACAGATATGGAAGCTTTTCAAGCTCTGTACACATTACGTCAGGCGCTTGATCCTGGCTCAGAAAATTGCTGATCTCGCTCTGCAGGGCTTGCCGTTTCCTGTCATCTAGCGCAAGGTTCACAATAATCGTCTGCAGACAATTGGTAATAGAGTATATCCCGCCTTCCTGGATAAGCTAAATTTAGCGACATTCGAGTCAGCTTGACACTCAATACCTAAAAGCGCAGATGGGAAGACTGCAAAGCTGTCCACCCATATCATATATATCATTTCTAAATTGCCGCTTGATCGCCTCTGCCCGGTCAGATTTGTCGAAATCCGCAGTTTGGGCTGGACGCAGCACACCCTCGAAGCTCTGCTGGTATTGAGATTTCTTTTCATGCTTCTGTTAGCCGGATATAAAACAGCATTGTTGGAAAGGCTTCGATTATGATGCGTACCCCGTATTCATTCTTTGTCGATGCTTGTTTCTGAAGAAATCGTAAGATCCGCATTAATGAACTCCTGGCAGTATATAATAAGAGATGCGTCCCCGACATTTGAATAGAGGAATTGGGCTACATACCTTGCTGGCTTTGGGACCATACCCAGTAAGGGAACAGTAATTACACCCTGAAATTTGGCTTTGAACCTGAAGAGATAGGGAAATGTCAGCCAAGCACACTGCATCCAGAGATGGCCCTCGATAACTGACCAGGCAGCGTTGAACTCTAGATGTGAGAGATATTAAGTAGGTTCTTCGCACACTGTTGCTGAGACAAGGTCTGTTTGCCTTGACACTTAGTACCAGCTTTCATAATTATTAATTTCCAGAAGGCTGACCTACCCATAATCAGTAATAGTAGAGTGTAACTTAGATTAACCGGCTCCCAAGTATCCTTGAACTCGCCTAATCGTGAGGTGAAGCTCTTGATACACTTGACGACTTGCAGTTCGGCGGCGATCGTAGACGCTCTCGAAAAATATTTATCTATGGGCGCTCGTACTACCAAGCGGTGGACTTTATGTGTTTTAAGAAGCTCTATAAAATCTGTAGATAACAAGCAATGCGAATTAGATCATGTCCGTCTGTGCAGTAGGATCAGAACAAAGAGGAAAGACGACGGTAGTACTCGTAGGTCATCAAAGAAGAAGAAAAGGAAAAGCAAAGCAAAAGTATGCGAGGAAGAACAGACCTTCATAAGGAGTTCCTCGGTAAGACCCTGGGTACAAATCATTCTTCCGAGCTCCGCCCATGACAAACAAGTGTTTATGATACGACGGGTCCAAGATGTGAAGTTCGTCGGGAGATACTTGGATAATAGGGCCTATACATATCCATTATAAATAAGCATTTCATAAGGTTACTGCTTCCACTTGGGCTCTGGAGAGGTTCGAGCATGGACTTGGAAGCATACCGTAGCATTGGTGCATCTCGTGAATCTTCCGATAGAACTGGCCCGGCTTAACCCAGTCATGGTAGAACTCATACAAATATGTAGCCTTGGCCAGAGGCGAACCCGGGAATCGACTTAGCGGACTCAGCCAGAGACGATACGTTACAAGCATGGTGAAGTAGTATAGTAGACCACCAAGCTCGTCGTAAGGTAGACGGCAATGTCAACCCACGTAAGGTCGCTTAGAAGGATCATGATGCTTGCTGAAAGCAAGAAAAGTAATCGGTATAGCAGACTTCGGTCGTTTACCTCGTAAGACAAAAGTAATGAAGATTAGCCGATTCAATAATACTATCCTAATGCAACATATATGAGCACTCGAGCATTATAGATGTGCTTCTGCAGCTTATATACCATTGACGCCCTCTACAATCTGCCAACTGTGCTTTAGAAGCAGAGGTTTAAGGTTATGATGATGCAAGCCGGTGAACTTCTGCGATTTTATAACTCTATACTATCTAGTATATTTCAATCATGACGCTGTCATAGACGTCATAGAGATAGCATTTGGTATGGTAAACCTTCACTGTTGCATAGAGTTCTCAATGTAACACAAGCATTATATTATTAAGGTTTGTGGCTTACACCCAGTACCATAGATATTGATTGGAACTATTATGGCACAACTCGCTTATACTCCATCCTTAGTAGAACCGCTCTGCAAAGGTGAATGCCCTATAGCCAATACATTGTGCCAGAGTCGTAGCAGACGGTGTAATCTCAGGAAACGGTTACGCCTATTGTTTGCTTAAGTGCATGAATAGTGGAGTGAAGATTTCTAAATTATTCGAAGTATAAATATACAATAGATTGACTACCTCCTATGCTTTTCAGCATATTTGTTTTCGATCGTATCCATACCATAGCATCTAAAGCAAAAATGGCACCAGATACTCATTACCATGACAAACATGATGCTGCCTTCACAGAACAGCTGCATGGTACCTCAGGCAAAGCCGAAGGAATCTTAGCCATGCGGAAAGACTTTCGAACTCATCAGGTGGTGCTACGAGTACTTCAGGTACTTCGCAAAAAGCACCTGCAAGTGACAGGTGCGGATGGTTTTCGAGCCGATTGGATAGTTTGAATGGAAAAGTGGGACTTTATATGACCTCATTCACCGCCCGCGATAGGATCTGGCAATTCCCCCACCCATCAAGTGGGTCGCGGCGGATGAACCTGAAGATCATTAGTCCTTATCTCTCCATGGGCCTATCCTTGATACGTCTTCTGGACAGCAGGTGGTCCGGGCAGCGTCTTTTCGAATAATGCAATGACAGCCACTTTCAGTCAACTCCTGGGCATAAACCCTCTCTGATTCTGGCACTACAACTGGGTAGTTCATCCTTTGCCTATTTTGTATTGCTCAAGCCCAGTCACCAGAAGAACTGCAAAATGGGGATATTTACTCGTGTTGACCAGCCACCTGAGGACGATGAGAATAAGTCCTATACGAACGAGACAGCTGAAGAGGAGGGACTATTGAGCGCGCCTCGACCAAGTACACGATTGCTCTCGAGAAGCTCTTGGCTTAAGGAGCACTCGATTAAAATCCACCTCTCCCTACTTTTCTTGAATGCCCTTATGCTCATCGCTTACACTTTTCCGTGGTCTAAGCCGACATACATCGCATATCCGGACATCGCAACCAGTCAGTACATCCCTCTATAACTCAGTTAGAATATTATCCAGCTCATAACCCATCAAGGTCCCTTGAAAAGTGCCGTAGAATATGAACCGCGGCGCTTAGAAACCCTGGCCATATACCGACATGACGGGTCACTGAACCCAACAAAACCAATGCCTATAACGGGCCGCCGCGACCGGAGCTAGAAGAAGCCTGGGATAAACTCATGAATAGTAGGTGGTATAATCAATTCTACACTTAACTTCCAAGAAAGCAACCACTGAGATATAAAGTAATAGATACCAATATCCGAGTCACTCAAGATCAATAAGGAGAGGATTTCGCCGCTCAGGACAGCATAGTTGAGCTGAGTGACGGCAGCGGATATTATGTGACTGTATCCGCGTATCATGGGCTTCACTGTGTCCAAAGGCTCCATCATTACATCTATGCCGACCACTATTACCCGGGACTTAGTGAGTTTGAGGCTTTCATGTTGCGACGACATACGGGTAAGTGGTGACAGAGAGTGCCTACTGAAGCCCACGATGAAAACACAATTTTGACTGGAAATTCAGAGCATTGCCTGGACTGGCTAAGACAGTACGTCTAGTGTCACCCAGACCTCTCACCCATTCCAAGTCATTGGATGACAGAGTAAGTTTATTCAGATCCCGATGGCACTTGAAACAAGTTAAAGCTAATGCACGATCCCCAGTGGCCCCTGTCCTGTTGCGCCAGACGACGGCCACTGTCAATGTGTTGTCTGGGAGAACATCGAGAAATGGATGGCTGAACATTCTTTTGATCCCCATGAGCCCGGAATACTGGTTCACCCAATATTCGGTATGTCGGATACATAATCAAACATTACTGGGTGCTAATACTAGATCAACAGGTAATCCATACACCGAGAATGGGACAAGTCATAACCTTGGAGTGGTAGAGCTGGGGAGTGGGGGTTTACTACACAAAGGGGGGCAGCACACCAAGAGGGGTGGCGAAGGCAACTAGTAGAGGGTGCACTAGGGTTGGAGCTACCTTAGCTTTAATTTTACGAGAGAATTAGCTCCGATAGTCCAGCGGTAAACTTTCTCAAATATCACCTCATTCTTCGACCACGTAATCCGGAGCTGGTAATAAAATCTGCATTTGATATTAGGGTACTTTTGGCAAGTTATGGGATTGGATAATCGCTGGTATCGGTTTGGGCCGGTCGATGCACTGATGGGTAAGTGTGAACGGCTTCCGCGCCATACAGATAAGGCGACAAGTGCTGCACAGCAAAGAAGCCAAAGCCATCGATGGAATTGTGAATCGGTTTTTGTCTCCCATTATCGTCTCACTCGTCTCCACATCCAGCACTACGAAGTCACAATACACTATAGTTGGCGTAGGTGCTGAGACTTTACCGGTATTTTACATTACGACGGATGTTTTCTATCAAGATGTTAGCTATCAAAGTCATGCATGTCCCCCTGGCTCGCATTATCGGATTCACACTATGAGCTCACACTTGCTGCCTACTCACAGACATGGGCTATTGAGCCACCCCTCTTGTCCCATCTACCCAGTTTCTCTTTCTTTCTCTCGACGCCTCTGAATTGCATATTTCTGCTGCGCTCAAACGAGTCGATCCGTCACAACCCCCTGTCCTCTCCCCTCCTCCATCGTATACCATTTCTACACCACGCACTGGTTTAGAATTAAGATCCACAAGATTCAGTAGAAAAAACATCATGGAATCACCTAGCACCCCCTTCCTGCCCAAAGAAGAGGAAGCTAAATCTTCAACAGAAGAAGGCTATACCTATCAAGAGCACACACTTAATTCCAAACCAACGCCCTGGCATCGACAACCCATATGTCTCACCACATTCCATGTGTTATTATACCTGCTTGCGACATGGGGATCTCTTTCACTCATCTCCTTTATCATACTTCCATTTCCATCGCCCCAAGCAACTATTCCCGACGTTTATCGCCCTGAGACCCTGCCTCCCGACCTACCCATCTGCGATTGCGGGTCTACAATCAAGGAGGCCGTTCATCGCAACTGTACATACGACTCCCTCGCCACAGCCTGGCTCCCACCCCACTGCCGTGACGCCGAGTTAACTGCCCGCTTCGATCGTTCCGGGCCCGGGCCCAATGGCGAATGGAGCTGCTACCTCGATGAATACGGCACTGTGCCCATCACCAACGATGAGATCGCACAATTGGCGGAAACAGGAGGCTCCTTCTGGTCAACACGGGAATGGCACATCGCGCATTGCGTCTTCTATTGGCAGAAGTATCGTCGGATGGGGAAGACCGGGGTGGTTATGGAGGAGAGGTTCGGGAGTTTGAGTCATGTGGAGCATTGCTCCAGACTTATCATGAGTCCGGTGCCGGCTTATTTCTTCTTTCTTTCGGTTCCCGTGGTGTTGAATTCGAGTGTTGAGGTTCAGCAGATGCCGTCGAGATTGTCTAGGCCTGCAAACAGCCATGTCATCTGCAATTCATACATCAAGGAGCTAGTCTACGTCTGTCGACATGAAATGGACGTAGGAAACATATCTATCCTATGATCCGTCAAGGGAGAGACACATCTTGCCGCCCAATGCAACGGCATCCATCCATCTTTATCGACCAACCCCAGATATGTGTCCTGGTAATCAGGATGCTGTTTGTGGCCCTCCAGGACCTCCTCCACCAGCTCCACGACCCCACTAATCACGGCGTAGTGCAATGCCGTGCGACCCATCGAGTCTCGAGCCACGAGGGCATTCTCACTGGGGCTTAATGCGTAGTAGTGCTCTAGCCCCCGATAACATACGAGATGAGCAGGAGTCCTCCCAACCGAGTCCTTGCAGTCGGCATCAGCTCCTTCCGCCAAGAGAAGCTTTATGACCTCCGGCGCGCTACTCAAACACGCCTTGTGCAAGGGCGATTGCAAGTTCCCGCCCCAATCGTTGACACGAGCCCCATTATGAATCAAATACCGAATAACCTCCAGGGTCTCCTCCAATCTGGAGCCATCGACTTTACGGCCGCAGGCCGCCTGCAACGGGGTCTCGCCACCCCCCGGGGCCGCAAAATTGACATCCGCCCCAGCCTTTGCCAGGATGCGCACCATATTCGGGCTCCCGTACCGACATGCAATATGGAGAACTGTGCCTTCTTCCACGACTTTATCCAGTTGTCCCTTCACAACTGACGCCAAATATTCGGTGACGGGCTCATTGTTGGCCCGTACGGCGACCCAGATCGCGCACTCCCCTTTCTTGTTGGCGTCTTCTGGATTGGCGCCGTAACGGATTAGATGCTTGACAGTGGCCACTTCCGTTTTCTGGTTGATAAAGTGCAGGACACCAATCCTCGAACTGCAGTTCCGGTCTACATTCGGTTGGTACTCCAGGATCAATGGTACGGCGGCTTCACAGTTATGCTTTACGGCCCATTCGAGTGGGGTACAGGATTGCCCGCACTCGCGGTTGATATCCACGCCGGCCTTCAACAGCAGGGCGACGATTTCGGTGTAGCCGTGGTAGATTGCTGTTGAAAACAGTTCCTCTCGTCCTCCTAGATACAGGTCCGGCTTAGGAGTGTTGGCCAGGAGGGCTCGGACCACCTCAACATGATTACCTTTGCACGCGAAGTACAGAGGATATCCACCTGAACAATGTATGTCCACGTCAGCCCCTCGTGCGAGAAGGAGTTGGGTGATTTCCAGGTGCCCAAGCCGTGTAGCAACGTGGAGAGGTGCCTCGTCATAAGCATGCTTCTTCAGGTTGACATCGGCTTCAGATTCCAGCAAGCAGCGGACGATTTCAATGTGGCCCAATTCCGTAGCAATAGATAGGGGCGTCACGCGGGTATGCAGGTCCAACTGGTCAACATCAGCTTTGAATTCGAGTAGGAGCTTCACCATCTCTAAGTTGCCCTTGTCCGTCGCGTGGTGGAGGGGTGAGGTATCCCATGTTTCACCGTCCAATTCGGGGCTTGGATTTGCCCCAGCCTCAAGCGCGAGTCTAGCAATTTCAAGCTGGTTGTATCGTACGGCATATCCGAGTGCCTTTGTGGCGTCAGATACTGGGAACCTCTCACGATCTGCCAGGATTATCTGCACGCACTCCTTGTGCCCTTCACGGACGGCAGCGAAGAGTGTTTTGGTTCCTTTTCTGCAGAGGCGGCAGAGCTCTCTCTTCAACTCGGACATGTTCATGTTGGCTAAGGTGGTCATCTGGCCAGGGGATCTCTTAGTGCGCAGGGGTATGTGCATGAAAGAGAATACTTGAAAGAAAAGCAAGTAATTCGTTATGCTAGCCACAACTGAGCAACACAAAGGTAATGTCTCCTTGATATAGGCAATGCTGACACCAACGGGAGAACTTCCGGTGCTGCATAGGTATGACGAAGACGACTCTGAGCACCGAAACTGAAATACTGGAATCTTCCACACAGATCCTTGTCCGACGAAATTCTGAGGTCATATAGGCCACCGTACAGCACAAATCTAAGATGATGAATATTCGACCACTGCATCTTGCGTAAACGTGATTTGAGCTACGTACTCTGAAGACAGAAGAAGTTGTGGGCTGGATGAATCTTCCACAAGTCCTGCTCATGAAGACGTGATAAGGGAAGTTGTGTGGAGTAGTTTATCTCCCTTACGATAAGCCCTGGGAAGGGAGAGAATCTTCAATGTTGGAACGATTCTGATTTTCCCAAACCCTCAAGTCCCCAAGCAGAATCCGGGTCAACTGTCGGCATTCGAGCATCATTTGAAAGAAAGTATCACATGTAACGATTTCAAATAGAGGTGATTTACCTCTTCCAATGCGATGAGGTATTCAAAATGTGTATCAGCTCAGAGATCGGGATCTTATTTCCGATAAATGCACATTGACCCCTGGTGAATGCATAAATCACAGAAGTGATTGAGCTCCCAGGGACAGGTATATAAATCTGGTGTCTGGCCTCGACCTTGACTGCAAGCTGGGCGTGTGTACGTTAGCCAAGCCTTCCATCAAGATTCCATTCCCAATTCTGAGTATTTCATTCGGCAAACCCTGAGTGGGTCCGTGATGGAATGGTTCAAAATGCTAGCGGTCAGCATTTAGCGCCACCGGGACTCAAAACGTCCTGTGGGGCCGGAGTTATGAAAGTTAATGTGCTAAAGTCCGATTTAAACCTCAACCTTGTAGCCACCGGCTGGAACTTCAGCAACTAAGATTCTGTTAGCGGTCAGCATTCAACGTGCACTCATCTTTCCGCGATCTACTGTCCTCGATCATCAAGTCATCATTTGATCATCCAATATGAGGGCCCGCGATGCTTCCCCGCAGTCAGCAAACCCACATGTCATCTATGTCGCTGAGAAACTCCCCGATGATGACTGGCACGGTGTATCGGATGTGAAAGAACGTAGGAGGCGCCAGAACCGGTTGAATCAGAGAGTACGCCGTAAGTCATTGTGGAGATACCAATTTCATGATTGGACCTGAGGACACTCGCTGATGTTCGACCAGGCTATAAGGCAAGACTCGCGCAAGCTCGTTCTATCCCTTCGAACGGACACTACCATCCAGTCACAGCGCTTCAAACGCCCTTGAATATAGAATCAACTGGCGAGCTCCAAAGTACACAACCTCATCCGCAACAAGATGTAGAACCCGAACTCACAACCCTCACCCGCTTCTATGGAGGCCATAATAGCAGCGAAGATAGCAAAGCAACAACAACCACCCGAAACACACCATCCATCCAAACCAAAATCGATGCACTATGTGCCAAGATGCCTAGCACAGACAAAGTGAACATTTTACTACAACAATTAGCCAAGTTCCACTCCAGTTACCAGTTGAACTGTCCGCAAGCAGACCATCTCCTCTCCCTCACGAGGATGAATGTCCATCGCGCCTTCGTCGCAAATATGGCTACTCTCGGCATTACATGGGAGTGGATGAAAGACGACTCGATATCTCCCTTCTCACTCGGGAGGCCTGGACATGACTTTCCTGCTATTCTTCCAGATAGTCTACGGCCCACGGAGCTTCAGCGTCTAAGTCCCCACCACACTTGGATTGATTTGTTTCCGTGTCCCATCATGAGAAATAATCTGATTCGGGTAGGTGATGACTGGGATGATGAGGAGTTGTGTACGGATATCATGGGGTTCTGGGATGGGACTTCCACTGGACCCTATGGGTTGATTATCTGGGGAGAGCCTTCTGACCCTAGAAGCTGGGAAATTACGGAAGGATTCTTGAAGAAATGGGGTTGGTTGGTACATGGATGTGTGGATTTGATGTGGTCGACGAATCATTGGCGAGCGAAGAGAGGAGAGAGGCCGTTGTTTTCGATGACCAAGGTGTATCGTCAACTGGGTCAGACTTAGTTGCGGAATTAGTCTAGGAGACAGTGAATGAGGAACAATGGATGAAAGAAAATGCATTTATTCATTCTTTTATTACCGTTCATGGCACCTGGTAGGCAGCGTACATGTATAGCTGTTCGTTAAGGTCCTGACTGCCACAAACTTATTCTAGGGTAATCATTATATATTGTAGAGAAGGACCTATCTCTATACAAAATGTAGACTCAATGAAAACAAAACTAGACGCATTACTTACTAGCTAGAACTTCAAAGACACCATACCGTAACTTCATCCAGCTATCACTCACTTAGCACTCGTCCTGACCAAATCTCCGAACCGAGACCCCGGCTGCGCCGCCAATTCCGCAGGGTTCCCAATCTCCACGATCTCCCCCGTATCCATCACAACCACCCGATCAAAATCCATGATCATGTCCAGCCTATGGCTCACAGCAATGATGGTATAATGTCTGAATTCCGTCTGGATGATATCCTGCATCACTCGCTCCGTCTCATGATCCACACTCGAGCTGACCTCATCCAGCAGCAGTATCCCATTGTCTGAGCCTTTCTTTGCCCGGACACGACGTCTCAGAAGTGCACGGCCAAGCGACAGAAGTTGGCGCTGGCCGGCACTGAATGTGCCTGCGCTCATGCCAGCATTCAAGCCTCCACGATCTTGAACAAAATTCCACAGCCCCACAGTGGTAAGGATGGATTTGCATTCTTCAGGTGTGGAAACGGAGGAGGGGTCTAGGTTTGCTTGTACAGTGGAACGGTCTGGTAGGAATACGGCTTCCTGGGGCACTGCTATGATACGCTGGCGTAGGGTAGGTCGGTTGATTCGGTGGAGCGGGATGTTGTCGATCGTTGCGTTCATGGCCCTTTCTGGGAGGGGGTCGAGAAGTTTGAGTAGGAGGGCAATAAGGCTGGACTTGCCGCTGCCGGTACGTCCGCAGATGGCAACTTTAGAGCCGGCGTTGATGGAAAGTTGAATGTTGCGAAGGGCGAGAGTGGACGTATCGTTGGATCCATTCTCAGCAGCGGGGTTACTCCTGATGAGCATTAGCTTTGCATGGTGGCGTTTGCATGGCAAGATAGCTCCTTTACCCGTAACTTGCGGATACGCCTTTCAGCTCGACTATGCCACTCTGGGGCCACTGTTCAGAAGGGATTATGTCCTCGCTGTCTGTATCCTCTGGCTTTACGGTTTCTTTGAAAGCCTTGAGTCTCGCGATCGCTCCAATGGACGTCTCTAATTTTGTGTAAAAGATGACAATACCGGAAATGTTATCGCCGAAGCTCATTAGAGAGACCAAAGAAGCTCCAGCGAAGGCGGAGTTTGAATGAAGCCGGACGGCCAATATCGTCAGCACCATTGCTATCACCATTACTACAAGGTTGAGAACAAGGTTCAACCACTCTTGGATCATAAGCAGAAGATAAGCAGGTTGCTGACTGCTATTGACTAAGCGAGCATTCTTCTCAACTTCGTTTGTAAGGAAGCCTGTACAGTCTTTAGTTAGCACGGCACTATATCATTAGAGGAATCAATTGTTGAAGCAGGCATGAGGCTGATACTATGTTGGCTATATTGCTGGGCATATATCCCATAGCTTACTCACCGAAGGCTCTGATAGTCGTGATGCCCTTGAGAGTATCAAGGAAATGCGTGCTATACGTTCCTGTCAGAACAATGAAGAACTCCCATGGTTGACAGATACTGGTACGAAATAATTAAACTCACTATAAGGGACTCTTAGCCTCAAGATCCAGGAGCCTCAGCTGTCTAGATGTCCGAAGATAAAACTTCTGAACCACATAGAGCAGGGCAGCAAGGAAAGGGTAACTGATGGCCAAGTACAAAGATGAAGTGAGCATGACACCTGCTTGTCCGATCGCTTCGAAAACCTGTGAGACCCGTGTCAGAATAAATGGAGACTTTCTCGCGGGGATTTCACAGTGTCCTGTCAGAAGGTAGACTGTAGACTTACACAAACGATGGTGTTGAGTGTGGCCTCGGGTAGCTCTGTGTCTATCAAATTCAGATCCTGCGAGAACAGATTTGTCACGATTCCGGTATCCGTATTGGTAAAAAATTGAAGTGGCGCCTGGATCAATGTTCGCAAGGCTTCCTGATGTAGACCAGCCCCAGCTCGTTTCACTGCAATAATTAGGAGCGCAAGCGCCGTGACAAGCAGGGATATCATGCAGCATATTTGGAACGTAGCATAGATGCTAGCGTAGTATGCGGAAGAATGCGCCGGCCGGTTTGAGCTAATATCATCGGACCAGTAGGTGAGCCCTGCATCACGAGAATGAGTCAGAAGCCCAATCCATATGGCGTTCTGTAACCATATGTATTGCACTTACAAACTGTTGCAAAGTTTATGAAGAACCCCCACAGAGCGGCGAAGATCACACTGCATGCGGCTACAAACAACCCCATCCTCTTAAAGTAATGCCTGTATACAGCTTTATCGCCTACCTGCCGCGATTGCTGCATATTGAATCCCAAAGACGAAGTGATAGATATCGTTCTATTTAGAATGTCGTTCTTAGAGCTCCGTACTGTCCTTTTCGATGGCACTTTCTCATCTGTCACATCGCTTTTGCGAGTTTCCGTTAATCCTAGACGCTGAACATATCCTTGCCTTGTTGCCAGCGTGGCATAACTACCTTGCTCAACGACAGAGCCGTTGTCAAGTGCTATTATATGATCCGCTGCAGGGAGATGTCTGATACTGTGGGTGCATAAGAGAATTGTCGAGCGTCGTCGTCGGAGCAGGCCATCCGGCCCAAATACTTTTCTGAATACTTCCTCCTCTGTGTCTGCATCCAAACCACTGAAGATATCATCCAATACCAAAAGCTCGGAATGCAGGTATAGAGCTCGTGCAAGAGAAACACGCTGTTTTTGGCCTCCGGATAGAGCGATCCCGTCAGATCCAATGTTAGTTTCGTCACCCTGAGGAAGCGTGGCAATATCGTGTTTCAGAGCTGTCGCGTCGATGACTTCTTCGTACCTCGTTTCATTGAAAGGAGAAAAGCCGACGATATTCTCCTTTATGGTCCCATTTGAGAGGAACGCAGTTTGATCGCAAAACCCAACATGAGTAGCCATAGTGCTTATGACCACATTGCCCTTGCTGAAAGGGATTTCTCCAAGCAGTGCTTTGCAAAGCGTAGATTTACCAGAGCCAACAGGTCCCACGACGATAGTGAGCGAGGCTGTAGGCAATTGGGTACTCACATCTCGCAAGACAAACTTGTCTGCCTCCCAACCAAACCAACCGTTCTTGATTTCCACATGGTGGAGACCATCTAAACCCCCATCGGATACGCTCTTATCATTTCCTCTCGCTTTCTCCGTCTCACTCGTTATGTTAGCGAAGACTTGGCGAAAATCATGATGAGTTTCACACTCCAGAAAGGCCTGTATGCGGCCCAAACAGGCTATTGCTGAGACAAGACCAGGAATAGATTGGAAAACTTGCGAAAATGGGCTGGTCAAGAGAGTAAGAAAGGACAGGCTCGTAAACACCCTGGTCGCATCGAGAGTTCGTGTCGTGAAGGCAAAGGTCAGTGGTGGACTCATCAGTTGTGGAATATAGGCAAGGAGGGCCGCAGTGATGGCTAGCTGGCGGAAGCGGGCACCCGCCGCTAATTCTTCGACGCGAAGCCTCTGCACGAAGTCACCAATGGCCGCAGATAGACCGGATATTTTCAAGTTCTTCATGCTGGAAATGACTGTAGCAGTGAGACCCACGCGTTTCTGAACTCCTGCCATCCAGGCTCTTTGCGAGTCTCCAGTAAAGTTGGTCAAAATAGCCAAACCAGAGAAGCAAACAATAACAACACCCATAGGTGCGACGAACACGACACCAAGTCTTGTATACAACATCCACCCAGCCAGACCAGCTTGGATGATGCTTGCCCAAATCTCGTGCAACGATCTCAAGCCCATCTTGATCCGCTCCATATCTGTACTCATCAGTGTTAAAACAGCATTGTCATCACCAGCTCCGATACGCGCTGTTGTTGCTTTCTTGTAGATCTCTGTGACAAGCATGGACGTCGCCATAGTACGCATCCGGTGATGGAAATACCTACACCAATGTATGAGTAGTCCATTTTAGTGTCAGCATGCTTTCCGGGTCATCATACCATGTGAATGCCCACGAAATGGCCAGCCCCGAATAAATCAACAGGCTAGCACCGATGAATCCATATCCAGTGTTCGCATTGAGTCGGGGTTGGGACAAATAGTTCGACAGCCTTTCAAGAAAAAGTGGTTGACAAAAGGTGAAAGCGAGATAAGCGAGGCGTGGAATAACGGGCAAAAGCAGGGGGGCTTTCAATGTCCGCACCAGTACTTTCACAAGGCCAAACTTATCGCCCTTGAGCTTTGAATAGTCCATGTTTCTAGAAAACTCCTCATTGAGCGACGTAGCATCAAAGGAGCTATCCAGGGGATAGAGATCCTCGGTCGCCAGGACTTTCCTATACCCCCTCAAGAACATTCTATTCAGCCAGAAAAAGACGCCAAGCGAGAAGATACCGCTTGTTTCTTCTGGACTGTGCTTCTTTTCGTCCCAATCTATCCATCGGGACTTTTCTTGAGCTTCCAGTAGTAGAATGCATACCTTGAGGGCTAGGGCAGCACTGAATATACTACTATAGCTGGTCTCGATTCTGTTGTCTGATGACAGGAACAAAGTCCTTGCTTGAGCCGCGTCCAGGAGGAAAGTAAGAAACAAGTAGCTGTTCAGTAGTGTCGAAGGCCTCGGACTTCTGCTATGATCCAAGACACTAAGCATTATCATGAACAGGGCCGATACAAGGTTGAGGATTGAAGAAGCGATGAACATTGTGGTCACCTGGAATGACCCAACCGCGACCAGGACGAGCAGGGACAGTTCAAGACCCACATAGGTCGTAATGGCACCCTGCGATAGTCAATCTCATGATAATCTTTGTTTCTACCTGTAGGGTATCGGGGAGGACCTACCAATTTTATTAGCTGGAATAAGGGAGCATTCACAACTACAGGCTTTCGAAATTGACAT